GAAAATATTTTTAGAATTGAGATAATTACCAATGATAATTTTATTCCTAAATACTTGTGTCTTTTTGAGCGTGAAGTAAGTAAAGTACCGAAAGTTTCTTTTTTTAATGAAAAGAAAAAACGAATATAACATTGAAGCATATATTTGCTTGTAAGCTTCTTTTAAGACAACTTGACTACTCTATTACAAGAAAGAAAATAGAAGATTGATGATCTTCAAAAAAAATTTTTTTTTCTACTTCTAAGTTTATTTTTACATAAAAAAAGAAAAACGTTTTTCAATTGAGTTTTTGCATTTTAGTTAATAGCTTTACCACACTGGCGCTTCTTTCTGAAAAGGTTTTAAATAAAATCATTTTTTAATGAGAAAGAAAAGGTTAATGCTTGAGTTGTCATACTACTCGAGAAATTTTTAACGGGGTGGTCGTCAAATTTAAAAACAAAAAATTTAAATTTCCGAAGATTTATAAAACTAAATTGTTTTTATGAATAGTTATGAATGTGCACTGAGAGAAAAAATATGGTCAAACAACCAGAATATGGTAAAATTTAGCATTTTTTTCTCAATTGAACGGAATCTTTTATCAAAGCTCTTTGGTAATGATTTTGGTAAAATAACGAAAAAGTAATGTTTTATACTATGCGTTAAAATTTTGTTTGGTAATTTTATCATGATATCTTTGAGAATGGCGTAAAAATCATTTATTTGTTTAAATTTTATTTCAGTTTTGTATTTTTGATAAATGTGGGGTAATAAGAAATATAAATTTGAAAAACTGAATTTCTGGTGAACCGTTATCATATGAACGGAAACTGTTAATATATGAATGGTTTAAATATCATATATTTTGTCTTTATCACCAAACTTGGGTTTTTACTTTTCGTTTCCTTTACCAGAAATGTCTTTACGATACAATGCGTTATTTTTATTTGAATCCTTTTCTCTGGGTAGAATTAAAACCTAATAATAGTTTTAAAAGGAAAAGAAATTAAATTATTTTATAAATTTGGTTTCATTCACAACAATTAGGATCAAACAACAATTAAATACATGAATTTACACAAACTTGACAATACTTGACAACAAAGTTTTACACAACTTGATGTATTTCAAGCAACGAATAATGATTGCATGTAAAAGTTTTTATTTGTTTCACATGTTACAAGTTGGATAAAAAAATGGCATAATACAGGTTGCATTTTGACAGATTAACAGAAAAAATATACACAATAGGAAAATTTGTGCAGATGGTTTTGTGACTAGTCTTTGAAAATGTAATTTCATAATAATAGTAAAAAAGTAAATTTTTAAGACAATGCCTAACATTTATAAATGATAAATTTTTTTTAGATACGTTTTGTTTTTTAATTCATATAAACTTTATATTCAATTTTCTACTACAAAATTTTATAAATAATAGAGAAATGGGAAGAAAATGTCAATAACTGGGAGTAAGTTCAAATTATGGATAAATGTATTTTCCTAAATTAAGTATAACGATTTAAAACATTATAATAGTGTTTTATAATTATTATAATAGTATTAAAACTAAAGTATTATAATAGTCCTTATTATATCATTATGCAATTCTTAGTAAAGTGGATTTCAGATACTTTCAAAATCCATTTAGAATTTTGTTGAAGTTTCGATAAGCAAGTGCATAGAATTCAAAAATTTTAGTAGCATAGGAAACTTTAATGGTGTAAAATTAAAATGGAATACCTCAATGAAACACCACAGTTTTTTGATTAAAAGGAGTTACCCACGCTTTTCCTTATGATTTTGCAATAAATAAAATTTAATCCATTGAATTTTTAATGTTACTGTATTTATAACTGGAGTCATTTCTTGTCCATATAACCAGGGATCCCAATAATGAAATTTGTTACAAAAGTGTCTTGCCTGACCTACAAAACTAAGCTATGCAATGTTTCATATCGAGAAATTAAAAAGAAAACCCAAATAGCTCAAAAGAACCGTTTATATAGAATGTCACACTTTTTTCTCTCAATATTTTGACCTCCTCAACTTTGTCCCAAAATTTAACACTTTCCTATACACTAACCCCTTGCTCACGTATCACAATGTATAACATAAAAAAATACATGCAATTCAGATAAAAAAAATACAAGTAGTAGATATTTAATTCTTTTTAAACTTTTAAAAAATAATTTATGGAAATTTTCTTTAACTAAAATGTGCACTGTCACACCCTTCCTCTCCCTTGTCCCTAACTGTGCCAATTTCATAATGCCCCATCTCCCCCTCTAGCATGACATCATTTATTGGCGGCCTCATAGTGCGTAAGAAATTTGTATGCATATATATTTCCTGTTAACTTAGCCCAAGTAAGAAATCTCCCTTAAGTACAGTTCTACTCTTTAATGCAATTTCTTTAAAAAAGAAACTTGGAAGGCTTCTAGCAAGTGTTAGCAGTAACTATCTGCACATGAACTTAACAGCAATCACTCAAAAAAATGTAATTATGCTCTCGTTCCCAAGTCACTCAATCTCATAATAATTTTCACCGTTTTGCTGATTTATATTAAGACGGTACTTAATATAAATTACAAAATAATATATTGCATTACAATTGTTATTATTTTTATAAAAATTCATAAAAAATGAAAATAGCGAGATTAAAATAACTGGTTAAGTTGACGTGAAATGACTCCCTTTATAAATTAAGCTAAAATCTCTAATGATTTTTTGAAACTTCACCTTAAATTTTCTTTCTTAAATATGCTTTAATAAGAAAACAGCATAAATAATAGTGATTTGATGATAAGCAAAAAAAATTTCAATAGTCGTTATTCTTAAATATCTTATCGAACTTTAAGTTGACAAAGCATACACTTAAAATTTATTAAACGAAAAAATTGTAATATTATATGAAAAGGTTTTTGAAATTTAAAGTATCATTTTGCATTCATTATATATCTCTGTTATAATTAAATAATTTTAACAAAATTATTTATTTAAGGCTTTTTAGTGGGAAAAAAATTGCAACTAAATGAAAATGGAAAGCGATAGTGCAAATAAATACGCAATACATGTCATTAAACATTATTAGGAATATTTCAAAGATCTATATTTAAAATAAATTTGTGTCCATTTGCAACTACATAAATAATTACATTATTTTAACATCATGACACACTGAAGATATTAGAATTTTACAAGCTGAATTTAAGTTTTCTCTAAGAAAGAAAACTATTTGCAGAAACTCATGACCATTTTAAAATTATCACTTATCATTTAATGTGATGAAAATCATTTTAAAATTTAGGATTTATAGGAATAAAAGTTAGAATTCAGTTTTGAATTTAGCCAGAAATAGGAGGAGATGCACAGTTATACATTTAAATTGAAATAAAATTATTTTTTTAACTCATTGGTGAAATGGACGTATTGATAATTTTTTATGTAAATATTTGTAATTAACATCTTAAATACATGATAAACAGATATTACAAAGCTACGCGTAAGTAAGAAAAAGTAATATTTAATGAACTCCGGCAAGAGCCAGATATCGGTGGAAGGGTCATGGAAGTAAAGCTCCACAAATTTAGGACCAATAGCAATATCATAAGAATTGCGCATCGGCTGCCTTTACATTTTATGACTGACTGGCATTCATTATATTAAAACTGGAAGAACTTCAAGCTGTTAACAGGGTTACATCACAATGAAACACCAGTCACTTAAGAGAGCACTATACCACGGGCAAAACTTTGAATGGCGAATTCTCTTTTAAACACATAAGTAGTTTGACACTGAGACTTCATGTCAATTCAGCTAAAATGTGAGACACTAGGTTCACATGAATTCACTTTTTCTATACTTTCAAATTCTGAAAAATGTTTTTAAATATAAAGCGCCAGTAAATTATTGTAAGATTATTTCCCGACTGAGTAATCATGCTTAAACTTGATTTCATTTTGATATTTTGATATTAGAACTTGAGACATCATGATTTACTTAACTAAGTTTACTTAAACTCAATTTTTCCGTAGATTTAATTGTAAATTACTTATGTAGATAAAATAATAATGCAATAATATAAAAGAGACTTTACCATTCATGGTTTCGCTCACGGTATAGCGTTTCCCTAACCTCTGTGCTATAGCAGTAGTGGGCGTTTTGGGACTTGAAAGAAAGAGGAAAAATAAATACAGAAACAAAATAAGGAAGTATCATAAAAGATGAAGTAATAGAGAAATAGATCAAAATTAGAAAGAAAGAGAAGAGAAAAATATTATTTTAAAATCGTTTAAGAAGCTATTCTGAGCAGTTGATAAAAATACTTCATACTTTTTAATTTACTGCTTGATAATCAAAGGCATGTTCCATCTGAAACGTGTAGCTCTGTAATATTTAGTTACAGTGCATTTAAGAAATTGACAAAAATATTTATATATGTACCATATGCCTATTTCTTCCAGAATGAACTGTGTATCTAATATTAGTTAAATAGTTTATTAGTTATTTATAGAATAGTTATTATTAATGAAAGTGTGAATATACAGAATAATAATTCAGCTTGGTGTGAAATAAAATAAACAGATATAGATACACCGAATTTAGATGACAAATACATGTAATCATAGGACACCATGTATTTCTTATCTGAAATACAAACATACTGGCATATGCACAAGTATATATATGGCGAATTTATTGATACACAACACCAAATAAAAAAGAAATCAAGATATTTTCTTGTTTATTTTTTACAAAATTAGTTCAAAAATATTAGTTTTTTAAATAAAATATCAATTTAGTCAAAAGTTCCGTTTGGTATTTCAGTAACTGCAATAGTTTAAAAAAGCTTTTTAAACTATGCATATTTAAAACTGTAGCTAAAATAATGTCAAATGTTTTATTTTTTATAAAAATTTAGTATAAAATATTAATTATAAAATTAATTATGAAACAATTAAAAAAATAGTTATAGAAAATGATTATAAAAATTAATTATAAAAAATTATAAAAATTAAAATGAAATTATTAGAAAGATTTTTATAAATAAATATGTTATTGAATCCTTAGTTACGATGTAGGAGGAAATTTTAATATAAAAAAAAACATTTACGTAATTCTAGGTGCTGGGTCTTTTTACTCAATGAAATTTGCCTTGTAATTTACAATTGCATTCAATTAGAAATATGTTTTTTTCTAGTGTTTTCCTTACGTTGTAAAGTAAACTTTACCTTTTCACTAATTCACATTTTCTTTGGCATTTTCAACATACTTTATTTATGGAAGAAACTTTTGTCTCAGCTTAATACTTTAATTATTAATTAAACATTAATCTATATTTTATATTAAGCAATCACCGCTTATATATCATTGATAATAACTATTATTTTTATTCTTTGATCAGTCTTCTGCCAGAGATGCATTGAGTGGATACATTTTACAACTGTCGCATGCATTGAAAGAAATATATCAGGAACTTTATAACGTTTGCTTAATTAAAACCAAACCAACACTTAATAATAACAATAACAAAAATACAAACAAAATGACCTCAACCCTCGTGCACAGAAAAATCACATTAATGTATAAAAATTGCAATTAATATCACATATCTTTTCAAATAAAATTGAAGATAAGATCACAAAGCATAATATATACACACCAAGAGCAATTTATGAATGGAAAGTTTCTCCTTCAAAGCACATATTACAAAACACACAAATAAAAATAAACACTTTATATACAATTTATTTGGAACTTTTGCACCAATTCTGCATTGGCTTAACTTTCGCTAATGTGCAAGTATAAAACTTGAAAGATTTTGATCACAATGAAAAGTGTATTTACATGCAAAATACACTTTTATATATGCACTGAAATAGAATTTTCTATAGAGTGGCATCTATCATATTTCCTGTTCCGAATATCCGGCAAAGCGAATCGAAGCTTTTCCCAAAACTTTTTGTCATCCCAGTGTAAAAATGTGCTTGACTTTAACCATAATCTCAAATCTGGGTCTAAATCTTCTTGAGATAAACAACCAACAAAAATCACAATAAGCTTTTGTTTGCAGGTTCTGACCATTTCGTAATGTGCAGACTTAAATTCATAACGAAACCATTCACTTCGAACAAAGTTCTCTGATAGTATTAAAATTGTTCGACGAGAGCTTTCTATAGCTTCAATTATGGCCTCCGATAGATATCCGCCAATGGGAAGATCTCTGTAATGAAGGCACAATCGAAAATGGGGACTGCCATATTCTAGCTCATTGGCAAGTACTTGAACTACAAAAGCTTCATCTTTTTTGCAATAGGAAATAAAGGCATCGTAGATTTTGTCATCATCTGGAACTCTACGCTCAGAGTCGAAGATACGTACTCCAAATTTCGAAAAAAGCCAAACTTTTACAGGTTTACGAAATACAACAAAGAGTACTATTGCTATAATCACTAGAACGAAAATAGATGAGACCAATATTAACAATGGTAAAATGTCATTTACTTCAAGAGATTTTCTATAACTAGGTGCACCATCAGTAATATTTGTACAAGTTGTAACATTATATTCGATTAACGATAAAGAATGTGTGTCGTTAAAAATACAATTAACATTGTATACATCGTGTACCAGATCTGTTCTTAATTGCAACCAATTCGTGAAGTCCCCAACAAATTGGCATTCACATGCCCAAGGGTTATGAGAGAGCTGGATATCAGCTAGCTTGAGATTTTGATTCAGGTTCCATACTTGAAACTGTGTAATAAAGTTGTGGTCTAAATGTAATACTTCAAGATCTTTCAAATGCATAAAAGTTGCATTTGCTACAAAGGAAATACGATTATAAGACAAGTAAAGGTGTCGTAAGTTTACTAGGCGTTCAAACTCGTAGCCATGAAGGGTAGAAATGAGGTTATTTTGCAGGTATAGGGATTGAAGTGACTTCAGACCATTGAATGTTCGATTATTTATCACATGCACGTTGCTATTATTCATGTATAAAACTCGCATATTTTTCCTTCCTATAAATGTATGACTTGATAATGATGGGATAACATTACCATCTAAAAATAATTCAGTTACGTCCATTGGTATACGTCGGGGAACAGTTAGATGGTTTTGGGAGTTACAATCCACAATGTTTGTATTCCAGCTTTGATCATAAAAACATGTGCAGTTTTCAGGACACACCATTTCACAATCACAGGCATCAAATTCACAACAGTGACAAAGTGCGAAACAATGATTTTTGTATTGACAAAGAAACTGGGAAGATTGTGCTTTAACTAGAAGTACTGGTGATTTTTGACGATTAAATGTTAAGTGACAAGAGACATAATCAATATCCACAATGCGAGGGTAATGTCGAGATTCGTCTTGATAAGTAACACGTTGAATCCATTCCATATTACAATCACAGATAAAAGAATTTTCTGATATAAAAAACTTAGGTAACGGCTTACGATTTCTAACTTCGGTCAATCTAAAAATATTGACCTCTATGTTTCCTAGAAGATTTCTTCTCAAATCTACTCTTGTGAGATTAGGTTTACCCATAAAAGTAAAGGGTTGAATTAACTTTATGTGATTATGGTTTAAGTATACAATTTCAATTCCATTAGGTAACGAAGAGGCATCTATTTCAGTTATATGGTTGAAAGATGCATCCAATGTTCTCAGTTTTAGAACTGCTTCTAACTCAAAGTAATTTCCCAGCAATTCTATTTGATTGTCATGCAAATCAAGCCATTGCAATCCAATTGGAACTAGAGCATAATCAAACCATTCTATTTGATTTGCTGATATGTTTAACATCATAAGATCATGTAAATTTGTAAATAAACCATTGACCTCAGGAAGAAAATTGGAGTCTAAACGCAAAGCATGTAAAAAAGGAACATCCTCAAAAGTGTTTTGCTCTATTGATGCAATTTTGTTATGGTCTAAATTTAAAACTCTTAAATTTGGTAAGTGTCCAAATACACCTCGAGTTAAATTTCCGATCCTATTTCCACTCAGAACTAAACTATATAAATTCTCGAGACCTCGATGACTTGCACTGTGAATGTAAGAAATTTCATTATTAGATAAATCTAAGCTACGAAGAAGCATAAGTGATTGGACGGCAGATGGTACTGTTGATAGCTTATTATCAGATAAATTGATCTCTATAATAGCACTGTTGTTACTAAAGGCATCAATATGTATGTTTTCGATAAAGTTGTTATTGAGGGATAACATATCAATGACGAATAAACCGCTAAATGTGGAAGCAGTAATAAAAGTTAATCTGTTATTATGCAAATGCAGAGTGTGTAGTTTATATAGTACAGAAAAGGCATCATCTGAAATAGCTTCAATTTCATTATTATCTATGAAAAGTTTCTGTAAACTATATTGGGTTCGAAATATTTTGCTATCAATTTGCGTTAGACGATTATGACTTAAATTCATTAACTCAAGACGAATTAAATCCGAAAAAGTATCTGAACCTAACCAATGATTTGTTATCTCATTATGAGATAAATCAAGTATTCGTAGTCTCTGAAGCCCTGTCAGTAATCCTGGTGGTAAAACACTGATAGAATTATTTTGAAGGTATAGCTCAATTAGATCTTCACAATGTCTTAAAACTAAAGGTGGCAAGGCTACGATTTGATTGCTGGAGAGGTCAAGGATTTCTAATTCATTCAGGCCAAAAAGTGCCAACTCTTCAGCTCTTGAAATGGAATTATGATCTAAAAAGAGTTCTTTAAGTTGACTTGCAGCAGCAAATCCTTTATTTGTTAGCACCTTGATACGATTATACGATAACCATACTTTTTGAACATCAACCAAGCACAAAACGTTCTCTCGAGTTCCAGTTGATAAACCCACATTAGATATATCAGCAAAGTCATTATCAGTAATGTTCAAAGACTGAAGATTTCGAAGTGGGCATAAGAGAGTTTGAGGTAAAATATTCATATTATTTTCACTTAAATCAATATTCTCTAACAACTGAAGCTGAGAAAATGTCTCAGCAGATAATTTGAAAGAGGACAAAGGATTTTGAATATTTCTTGATCTTAAAGCTAAGTTCTTTAATTGAGATACTCCGTTAAATGCCATCGGTGTGATGGTAAGGAGCTTACAGTTTTCAATAACAAGATCATGTAAATTCTTTAGAAAGCCAAAAGTATTGTTAACTAAGTTGTCAAAGTCACTTTTTAAACGATGGTTATTGCTGGTATGATCATTTCGGGTATCACAGTTGATATTCAATTTACCAATCAAGTCTGGGTCAATTGAAGAAAAATTGTAGAATACATCGTTTAAGGTTTGCACGGAGCATTTCACAGACATTAGAGAAGAACCTTTGATTTCATCATTCTTGCAGTAATCCTCACTTATACAGGGCTCAAAAGCGCATAAAAGAAAGGAAACAAGAAACAGGATAAGATGTTGTGATGAATTGAGACAATTGCCCATATTTTCTTGTGCACTGAAGCTGAAACTATTGAAGAAAACAGACTTCAAACAATATTTTTTTACATGCTGCCTATAACTACTGCCATCACTCGTCCTGTTTTCAATTTGAAGATCCACTATCTCTCCTTTTATCAAAGCTACTCAACCAATGATTTAAAATTTCTGACTTGAAAACTTCCAGCATACAGACAATTGTCCACCTAAAAAATAAAAAGACATAAAATTAGATTTTAAATATAGCGCTAGCTCATGTTGTTGAGATAATAATTAAATATTACTTTCAGTAAAAATATTTCCATGTTTTAAAGACAATATTCTTTAAGGACAAAATTTGCATTCATTTTTCATTGACCCGATATCCTAAATTTTTGCTATTTACACATTTTTGTACAATTTGAATATTCCTTTAATCTGTAATAAGTAGAATATGTAGATGTAGATACGTATATGCTTACACTGTAAACAATATGTTAGAAATTAAAGAATAGTTCCAAGAAACTGAAGATCCAAGAATTGAATACTCCAATAAACTGTTGTTGTTGTTGATTTACGCCGCACTGGAGCTGCACAATGGGCTATTGGCGACGGTCTGGGAAACATCCCGGAGGATGATCCGAAGACATGCCATCACAATTTTGATCCTCTGCGGAGGGGATGGCACCCCCGCTTCGGTAGCCCGACGACCTGCGCGCGAAGTCGAGCACTTTACGGTAGCACAGTTTAACGAGGACCAATACCGCACACCCTCGGTCCCTACGCAGACTGATCCAAGTGGTCACCCACCCGCACACTGACCGTCCAATAAACTGAAAAAAATCTAAGAAAGGAAAGATATACTTAATTATTTCCTAAAATATAATGAAGCACAAAAACAATTCAAAAACTAAATATATTCTATTTCTTTTGTTTTTCACCTTTACTTATTTTTTATTTTTTGAAAGAAACTTTTAGTTCACTGTTTAAAATCTCTTTTGCTTTCCTCATTCACATCTAATGGAGTTTAACAAATGAGAGCCTATTTTTCAGAGTTCAAAACATTCGACTTTTTCAACCTTTATAATTTCTGAAGCAATACAAGTTTTTGCATTATCAAGTATCTCAGGAATGTTTCCAAAGTACAAAAGCAATATGCTCAAATGACGCAATTATCAGATTGTTAACAAAATGACTCGGGCGTTGAACAGTTGATCCATGCAAAAAATGCACAGCTACTAATATTGAACTTCGTAATCTTGTAAATATCAGAAAACAATTGAACATACGAATAAAGGATCAGGATGTATATAATAATGTCAAAAGCAGCTTATTAGACATCTTCTGGGAAAAATTAAGAACTAAAAATATAAATGACCTCAAGAAATTTTCTGAATAACAATAGTAAGAATTCAGCTTGACAGCCTATATTAATTCAACTCACAACTAGAATATCTTAAGAAACTGGCTAGTTTTCAAGAACTTATATTTATAGTAACCGTATCCCATTAGCTCGCACAAAGTACTTGGATTTCTTCTAATATGCATAAATGCATAGATAACTGCTTAGCGTTATTTGAAAATAGTTCTACAGATGTATTTTTAAACTAAGCCCACTTTTAGCTAAATCAATGCTACATTAAAATCTGCTGTAAAAATTAGAAAATAATGCCAAAAGAAAAAGTTGTAACTGTAACATTATCTAATTTGTGAACAATCAGATAAGAGAAACTAAAAAGAAAAAAAATTGAAGAAACTCTTTTAGTATCAAACTTAGTAACACTTTGTTGACTTAATGAAGAGAAGGAAATTTGTAACATTTTGTGAAAAAACTCAAAACCTAGAGTGTAGTTACTAAAATGAGAAAAAAATGAATGTCGAAATGTAACATGAAACATTCTTCAGCAAAAGTACCGAGGGGGGGATAAAAAAATAATAAAATAAAATATTGATCGCATCTTTTCAGACTCCTAACACAGTTGGAATAGATTTTTTTTCGCTTTAGCTCTCACACTATTTTACAACGGAGCCATTTGTCAGAAGAAGCAACTAAAAACACGGAAAATGCTGCGCATGAATACATGCATGAGGTGTCTGACACTTCACTCCGATCCGGCCAATATCAATCATTCCATCGCTCGTTTCTTCGCGGAAAGAAAAAGGGCAAAAAAAAAAGAAGAAAAAAAATTTTGAACAGAGAAGGAACCGGAAACCAGACAACTTGGATTAGGAAACAAAACAGTTTCTAAGTATTTGAAGTTCTGTTGATTTTTAAAACTGAGATTTTTTTACGCGTCGAATGAAACTGGGTGACATTTTTCTTTGTTTCTTTTCGTAGACTTTTTTTTTATTTCTTAAAACCATTCATTCTAAATTTTGCATGTGTCATGGTGTTCACTTTTTCACTTAGATACTGAAATGTTTTCTAAAGAACTGAAAAATGTTACGGAAAGCAAAGTAGTTCCGACGAAACAAAAAATAAATAAATAAAAAAGTTCCCTAACAACTAACTTTTTTAAAATGAATGATTCAATAAAACTTGACATATATCTTAATTTTAGTGAGAAGGGTGAAGTCATGGTATCTTTGTTAGAACGAGTAATTGAAATTTCGTCTAGTATTTCATACCGTGAAAAGTAATATCACATACCTTGAAAGTTCTTAATTTTATTGTAGAAATAAAAAATTCTTAAATTTTAAATTGGCTATTTACTTTCGCATTTTTACTATTTTTTTTAAAAAAAGTAAGCAAAAATAAACAGTTTTTATATTTTTTGACCCTTAATTCGATTCTTTGAGTCTCTAGCCTGAAAATCCAATTAATTGGTTTTTTTTTTTTGTTTTTTTGTATATCGGGAATATTAGACACTGTTATAAATTTCTCAGAAAAATGGTTAAATAACAATTTATTTAAATGTTATTTTACCACATTCCAACAAAACAGTCAAATAACCATAAATAAAATAGAAATCAAACTGTTAACTGTGAGAAAAACCGCTTATGAACTACCTTCAGTATTATGATCGACTGAACTAGGGTTCGAGCCCCAGCGTTGACAACACAATATTTCCTACATTCCCTTCAACACTTGAAGAGTTTCCAATGTCCTGCTCTCTCCAATGCCCATTACTTTAAGAAAAATCCAGCTCCTATGTCCAGTTAATTTTCCTTTTTGGGGTTTGAAAAACATGATAATTCCAAATGGTTGAAAAACCGTACAGTTTCGCATTCATGGTTTTATAACCATACCAGTTGTAAACGTTTTCAAATCCGTAAAGGTAAAAAGTGTTCTTTACCTTAAACTTTACTGTTAATTAGTTGAACACAGTACTGCATGAACATGATAACATGATAATTCTAAAAACTGTATAGTTTCGTATTCACGGTTTTATAACCATACCAGTTGTGAACGGTTTCAAATCCGTAAAGGTAAAAAATTTTTTATGCCTCAAACCTTACGGTTAATTAGTTGAACACATTACTGCCTGTTATTTTATCATTATTTTACAATTATTCTAACCGTGCAGTTTATTTTGATTCATTTTTCATTTTTATTCTGGCTTTATTAGATGTATTTTTATTAATATGATAAATATGTTTTGCGACACTCGTTAACATTGCTACCAATTTATTTCTATGACTTTTTTTCAGAACTACAAATTTCAACACAAAAAAACAGCATAAAATTACTGCTCAAATAAACCTGGATTTTGGTATACATAATCGTTAGATACTTTTACATGGATACATGGTATGCATACTTCTTATGTACTTATTTGCATGAAATTTTTTTCAAAATTTCTTATAAATGTAATAAAGTTTTTCTTCTTCAGAATCTTCGTGACCTGTGAAACAAATATTAAAATAATGAAAAATATTAAAATATATTCGAATCAAATTTTTTGTAAAGATTATTATATGAATCGAAAGGTTACACTTGTTTCTAGAAAAGAAGTATTGATCTTGTATGCATTGCTAGCTCTTGGAAAATGTCCCTTAGAAATTAAGTTTTATTTGAGGTAAGGTTATTGATAGATATTAGTGCATGAAAGTGATCCCATTTAAATTCACAAAAGACAAGTCTTTGTAACATCGCAAAAGAGCAAAAATAATTTTATTAATTACTTAAAAAAAATTAAAATATTTAAATATTTTTATTCTAAAAAATTCTAATGTTTTTATCCTAAAAGTTTTTAAACAACTTTCTGCTTTACACTAAGAAAATATTTTTGTCTGATGTAAAGATGTCATGCTTTCAACTTAGTTTGCCACTCGAGAATCAATTCTTCAAAAATGTATGTACAGCGAGATTGAATAACCACAAACAATTTCTGATATATATATAATGAGCTTGCATAGATAGTAACCAATAACATCTCTTCAGAAAACATAAAAAATTTTAAAATAAAAAATATTATATTTATTGTAATATTTAATATAAATTTACAATAATTACTGTGAATTAAATAATAAATAATTATTGCATTGATAAATGCATTATTCATGCAAAACAGAAATAATTTTTAAGACTTAACTTAATTTTTTAAAATTGTTTTAGGCTATTAGTGGTTGCAGAAGATTCACGTGAGCCAGAATTGAAAACTTTACATGTAGACAATTTATAATGCTCGAGAAAACCAATTTAAAATTTATAAAACGCAACGAAATATACAAATAGCTGAATTAGATGTAACCATAGATAAATAACCTATCATCGGTGCACTTTCAATCTTATTTAATGGCATTGACTTTCAAATTGATCTATATTTAAATTTCTTTTTTATTCCAGTCTATCATTCGTATAGAGATCTTGTTAATTCGGACATGATGTTAAAATATAAAAGAAGTTTTGGATCTAAATTGGCTTAAACTGAAACCTAACGTAGAAATCCTATGCAGTAAATTTGGGTACTATAAGTCCTTGACTACTGTCAACACGAAGCACAAAATGGAGTTGAGTTTCCGTGACGATGCTTTTCCTGCTTTTAACTTCGTGTTATATGTATTCAGCTTGGAATCTCCAAGTAAACACAGGTTTAAATTTTTGCAAGCATTGTTGGTGATGAAAAGATTAGTAAAAGAAGAAGTGAAAGGATTAAAAAGGAAAAAATTTGAAAAGAATATGAAAAGAATATAATGAAATGATTAGTAAAAGAAGGTATCTGAAGTAATCTGAAAGTTTGGATGATCCGAAGTTATGAAATCTAATTAATGCTTAATAAAGTAT